CCTTGCAAGCACAAGGTCCCGAGTTCGATCCCCAGTACCAAAAAAAAAAAAAAAGGAAAAGAAAATTGGTTTAAAAAAGGACTGGAGATGTACCACACGTCTGCATACATACCCCTCACAAAAGGTATTATGCAGCGCAAGAACCAGAGTTCAATCCCTGGTACCTAAATAAATAAATAAATAAATGGAGGGAGGGTAAAAGCTTGCTAGGAAATGGGAGTCTAGAAGGGACCAGGAATGGGGATCATGTAACACACAAGGTGGGATTTAATGTTGAACTTGGCCATTAAAATAGGACTTTACCTATGGTCAAAAAGCACCATCAACGAGGACAAATAATTCCAAATCCAGAGGCACCTAATATACCTGGGAAAACCAAGATAATCTTGAAGAATATACATTTTCCTAAGTCATAACTCCAGAATGATAAATCAGGAAAGCCAAGTGTGTACGATTAACTAAAACGTACCTAAACAGACTTAAAAACAGTGCCTGGTCTGTAAATATTGCCTGGAATTAGTCCTGTTATTAATCCTACATGATCTCATTTTAACTATCTATGATGGTGGCTTATTATGTGGCACATTATATTACCTTGTGGGACACAGAATGACTTTTTGCTTTTGGGGGGTGAAGGTAAGGGCAGCTGATGCTGGAGGGAGAAGGAAGCCAAGCCAAAAAAGACAGGACCATAGTTATTGCATTTATACCAAATTACATGAATGTATATTTTTAAAGAAAATACAATAGGGTCGAGGATTTAGCTCAGTGGTTCTGGGGCCTGCCTCACAAGTGCAAGATCCTGAGTTTGATCCCTGGCATCAAACCCCCCCCCCCCGAAAATACAATAATTTCTAACAAAGTATTGTGTGTGCTCAGTACTGGGATTGAACCCAGGTTCCTCACACTGAACTGTATCCCCACCCCTTTTTATTTTGAGACAGGGTCTATTAAGTTGCTAAGTTTCCCAGACTGGGCTCGAACTTGTGATCTCCCTGCCCCAGCCTCCCAGAGTGCTGGGATTACAGGCCTGTGTCACTATGCCTGGCTTAACAACAAAATTTGAAAATCGGAGAACTGATTATGGTTGGCATGGGAAGCATGACCAGCAGACTCCATGGGGGAAGGCTGGATCCTGGTAGCGAAGGGAAGATGAGGCATCCCTCAACACACAAACACACACTCGCGCCCAAGAACTCCGTGCAGTGTGTGAAGGCTGCCCTACTCACTGGCTACCACTGCCAGATGACCCAGATCTGTGGTGTCCCTGCCTCAGGCCACGCTGGGTGGCTTCACATGCAAGTGAGTATCTGTTAGCTAAATGGGGCTGAGTCATTCATCAACACCGAGGGGTATACCAGCCAGGACCTTATCTGATGAGCCCTGTTGTGGCTTCGTTAGCCCCCTGACTGCACCCAAGGGCTTAGTGACCACCTCAGTACACCTCATCCCAGGATCCATGGGATCATCTTGGGGAACCCACAGCTGTGTCTCCAAGCACTCGCCCCACCTGTTCCTCTCCTTCTAGGCCTATTCTGAGGTGACCCCAGAACTCCTCCCCTTCTGTGGATAGTCCTGCCATGGGCTTCTGCCTCCTGACCACGATCAGCCATTCTTACTTGGTTCCTGCTCACCGCAGCCTTTCTGGAGGCCTCATGGGCCAGACTCTTAGGCTCCTCTGTGACTTCAGCAGGAGACTACATAGAGCCTTTCCTGTCCCCTTCTCACCATGCCACCCTTGCCTCCGTCTTGCAGGGTCTGGCAGAAACCCATCCCCGTCTTGAATACAGGCTTTTCCTATTGAAGCAGAAAATTCAGTTCTGTGCTATAGCTTTCCTTGGCAGACCGGGAGGATGGAAAGCATACCGGGAGTCTCGGAGGTAAAGTGAAAAGCACGCTTTATTTTCAGCACCGGTGGGTGAGCCTGAGTTAACATTGCAAGAGACTAACCCCCCTTTTTGAGGTAGAACAGAGCAAGATATACTCTCAGAAGAGGGCAGGCTTACAGACATTTTACATTCTTTTCTTTGGTTACAAAGAGTTCGGGTCATGGGGGTTTAAGCAAATTCATTGGTTATCAAGCATTACAATGCAAGGAGTCACATCTCATTTACATCTGGCGGGAAGGGAGAAATTGCTTGAGAACAAAGAAAATTCCTGAGATACTTGTGAGGTAGCATCATGCTAGGCAAGCTCAAAGGTGTTGGGAGAATGGGGGGACTTCCCCATCAGCAAGTCTGGCTTTAACTGTAAGGAAGCATGTTTCCCGTTCACAACCTCCTTCTTTTCCTGCCTTGCTGTTCTGGTTTTCACGGTGTCGTCTGGAGGACCCCTCTCTCCCGCTACAGCACGTGCCGTGTGGACATCCCTGCCGACAGCCCCTCTACACTTCCAGGGCCAGAGCGGGCTTGGAAGCCCTCTCCTCCTTCACAATCCCCGGCTGCCCTCCTGCTTCCTCCCGGCTCTTCTCCTCAACCTTTCCGCGTCCAAGCGTGGCCGTGCTCTTGAAGGCGACAGACCCCATTCTTCTCACTTCTCAAAGCACCAGATCTCCCGATACTCCGCCCTAGTCTACCCCGTCTACCTCATGTCCCACAACAGAAGACCCCTGCACGGGCCACACCGGCACCCTAAAACCCGCAGCTCGGCAGGAGTCTCAACCTCTTAGTGCCTCCTCGACGACCCTGTATGCAACATCTGCCCTCTGGAAGAACCCTACGAAGGCCGGGTACTCTGCCCAGGTTCCTACTCAGAGACCGCGAGCATCTTACCTGCACATGGACCTCCCCACTGCGATGGTTCGGAAGCTGGGAAGCCCGACACCAGCGCAGCAGGCGACTACACGTCCCAGCGTGCATTGCACCGGGAAAAGGGCGTCCTCTGGCTCCGCCCCGGAAGATAAGCCAGCTAGTGGCCTTCGCGTTTCCTCTTTCGGCCAAGCTCGGGAACAGGTAGGATGTGTGTTTGACCCCGCGGCCTTGGGAACATCCGCTGCCATCCACCGCTCTAGGCCACGATGGGGCTACCTGTGGACCTGAGCAACTCTTCTGAAATGGCGCGGGCGCGCGTGGCCTGGAACAGGGCATGGAGGGGCCGGGATGGGGGCGCGTGCGACCCGTAGGGTAGGTTCCGGGAAGCCAGGGCGGCGGGGCTCTTTCCCATCGGATGCTGACAGTGAGCGGCCCTTAGATCCGCCGCCATGGGCCGCGTGATCCGTGGACAGAGGAAGGGTGCTGGCTCTGTGTTTCGCGCGCACGTGAAGCATCGCAAGGGCGCTGCTCGTCTACGCGCCGTGGACTTCGCAGAGCGGCACGGCTACATCAAGGGCATCGTGAAGGTTCGAGGAGCCAGCTGGGGCGGGTGGGGGAACGGGGCGTCCCGCTGAGGCCCGGCGCTGACCCCGTCCCAATCCGCAGGACATCATCCACGACCCGGGCCGCGGCGCTCCACTCGCTAAGGTGGTCTTCCGGGATCCGTACCGATTCAAGAAGCGCACGGAGCTGTTCATCGCTGCTGAGGGCATCCACACGGGCCAGTTCGTATATTGCGGCAAGAAAGGTGAGCCTTGTGGTCGGGAAGGAAGGGCAAATACGGGATGGGTGTGTTCGAAGAGCGCACAGCCTGCGCCTGGAAAATAACTTACTGGGTGGAAGCCTCGCGTGGGGAGATTTTCGTGGCAGGAGGAGGACCCGTTCGGTTTTCCAGAAAGTTGTATGGTACCTGTCTCACTTGTGGAGTGCTTAGAGTGGGTTCATATTGCCATTGGTTGCATTGACCATCTGGTGCTGCTTTTGCTGCTAGCCCAACTCAACATTGGCAATGTTCTTCCTGTGGGCACCATGCCTGAGGGTACCATCGTATGCTGCCTGGAGGAGAAGCCTGGGGACCGGGGCAAGCTGGCCCGAGCTTCTGGGAACTACGCCACAGTCATCTCCCACAACCCTGAAACCAAGAAGACCCGCGTGAAGCTGCCCTCGGGTTCCAAGAAGGTCATTTCTTCTGCCAACAGAGCTGTTGTTGGTGAGTGCCATGCTGAATACTGAAGATTGGGTGATGAGACCAGAAGCTGCAGTGGACTGTCACTTGGCAGTTCTGTATCTAGAACCGGATTGTTTGCTTTCCTGAACTTGGGCTCTATAAATTTGAGCAGTCTTGAGTTGTGTCTCTGTAAGCCCAGCAGGATAGTGGTTACAGCTTTTTCAGACAGAACTGGGCAAGTCACTTGACTTTCTCAAGTCTTAACAAGTGAGTGATTTTGTTGTTGAACAACACCATGGAATCTTTCCTAAATCCATTTTTGCACAAATGCTGTTGTCAGGATGTGTTCACAGAATAAGCACAGCTGTGATACAGTGGCCTTGGTGGGTTGTCCTGGAAGTTTCAGAGGCTAGGTGATTTGCTCTGTGTCTCAGACAAAATGATGAAGATGGGATGCTTATCTGGGAATTTGAGCTTAGCGAACATCATTTGTGATGGGGATGAGGGCCTTGGCTTGTTTGCCCAGTGGAACTTGAAATGTGAGGGTAGCACACAGGTTGCAAGGGCTCTCTAGGGTGGAGGCTGGTGGGCTTTCTTCTGGTAGTAGTTTGAAGTACTGTGGCTCTTGGATGATGCATATGATCAAATCTTAAGTTGAGTGATTAGCATAGGAGGGTGGGGCATTAGCAAGCACTTGCCTGGGTGTGTTCTTACTGGAGGGCCTATGGTATATATATCTGAGGTGCCACGTCTTCTCTACAGGTGTAGTAGCTGGTGGTGGCAGAATTGATAAACCTATCTTAAAGGCTGGCCGTGCCTATCACAAGTATAAGGCAAAGAGGAACTGCTGGCCACGTGTGCGGGGTGTGGCCATGAATGTAAGTAGCCCAGAAAATGAGTGAGTGGGGTATTGTGGGTACAGTGGCCATGTGGGTGGGTTACCTAGCCCTCTACGGAAGTTAGCCTTCTACCCATGTGGTAGGGCCATCTGCAGTGGGAGAAGCACTAGGTGGTGGTTTTATAGCCAGACCTCTTGATCTGGGCCCAAAGCAGGTGGGATAACCCTGTTCTAACACCATCTTTTTCTGCTTGTAGCCTGTGGAGCATCCCTTTGGAGGTGGTAACCACCAGCACATTGGCAAACCCTCAACCATCCGCAGAGATGCCCCGGCTGGTCGAAAAGTGGGTCTCATTGCTGCTCGCCGTACTGGACGACTCCGTGGAACCAAGACTGTGCAGGAGAAAGAGAACTAGAGCCGAGTGGCTCAATAAAGTTTGTCCTTGGACTGGCTGGCAACATCTTTATTCAAATGATGGAGTAGCTCTGATCTCAGTTATTTGTGGAGTTGCTGGGTGGGGTATTTAGCCACAGGTGCCAACATGATGGGGTCTGCTTTGCCCAGGGATCTTGGGGTGTGGGAAGAATAATTTGACTTTACCTCTTCCACTCCATGCAGGTTACCAAGAAAGAGCAGGCTATATAGCTACTTTACACTGGCTGCATTCCTTGGGTGGTGGGTTTCACTTCTACAGTGGCGGGTTCTAGGTACCTTTTCCTCACCTGTGCCTCATGCCCTCCTACTTCTGCTGGTGGTGATCAGGTTGAGGTGGGCATTTGTACAGAAATCTATTCCCAGGTCCCTGTATAATAGTGCTGATTCTTGTTTGCAGTTCTTTCCTATGGGTTCCAGATCACCTCAGACCCTGTCTACCTAAATAGAGGCCTAGGCTGGATGGCAAAGAGCAGGTATATGCTCCTTCCTGCACTGGAACCTGACTTTTCCTTCTCGGAGTGGTGTTCCTGAGAAGCAACAGGTTAGAAACATCTGGAAGGGAACCTGCAATAAGAAGACAGGCTAGTTCCTACTCCAAGGGAAAACAAGTAGGCTTGTTTGGCCTGTCCATGTCCTGGTGTTTATTGACCACATGCTGAGCAGCATCAACTATCAAACCTGGGAGCCCCCTTCCATCAGCTGGAATCAGATCTCTGACACTTGCTCCCTGGTCATCTCAGGGTGGTTTAGCTATGTAGCTGTAGGCAGGGTCCTTTCTGTAGGGCCTTGCTGTGGCTACCAGTGGCTTCTACCTAGTGTGAGCCTTAACCTTCTGGCTTTCTGCTGTAACTGGTCTGAGTACCACCTGCCCTTGGGTGCCCACCGCACTTGCCCAGGGAGAGACTTGGTCCTGATCCTCTCACATGGGTGGCCCAAGGGTCCAAGGTTACAGGTAGAGGCATTTTCAGGATGGAGTGGCATCTGGAAGGAAGAAGGTGTTGGAAGACATGGTTGCTTTGGCCATAAGCTGCCAGTTTTCCAGCTCCTTCAGCAAAGTGGAGCCTGGGCCAATGGACAACTCATCAGAGAGGGTTTGCTCCAGAAGCAGTCAGGAAGCCCCTGTTCAGTTTGGACACTGGGGCCTATAGTTAGGGGTGGAGGCAGTGAGTTAACCGCTAAAACAGGCAGGCTGCTTTGCTGTGTCCTGATCCTTTGGCGATTTTCATGGCTCACTAGAAGAGTTATCGGAAAAAGTAGTCGGGCTTGTGGTGCACGCCTGTAATCCCAGCACTCTAGGAGGTGCAAATTTAAGCCTAACCTGGTCGATACAGAGGATCCTGTCTCAAAAAGGGGGGTGGGGGTGGCGATGCATCTCCCGGCAGAGGTTCAATCCCCAATATTGGACAAAAGAGTTAGTGTGAGCTGCTGGCCATTGACTTGGTCACTGATACCCTAGCCACTGCCTGGGTTTTGAAGCCTCTGGGTCGTTTGGGACTTGCCATCCCGCCCCACGCAGTTCCACCACTACCAACAGACATCCACGGAGGTGGATAACGAGACGCTGCGTCCTAGCTTGCCAGAGCGGTGCCTAAGGCCCGTATAAGGGGCGGGTTCGGATGCGTCACTTCCGGCTTGGTCTTGATTGGCGGCCAGTGGGGCCGGATTGCAAGTCCGCTTCTCTGTCTGGGGCGCTGAGGTGAGTGTGGGCTCTGTCGTGCGCGTATTCTGCGGGCGACCTTCCTGGTTCGCCGGTGCTCCTGTGGCTGCGGGCTGAATCGCCCCTGCCACCGCAGAGACCCTGACAGGCTCCATCCTCCGATAGTTCCCCTCCTGTTCACCCACCCCGGGGTCGTCTCCTTACTCTCTACCCCTCAGGTTCGGGCGTGCCTGGTCGCCCTCAGGTCAGCTCCTGCGTCAGGGATGCCCCGATCTATTGCTCCCTGTAACCCTTCCGTACGCCCCGTTCCCCTCCTCCTTTCGACCTTCCTCCACACGCCGTCCAGTTCTGTTCTCTCCCTCTCCCGGTTCTCCCCCTCTCCTTAACTTGGCTCGCTCCCCCCCACGCCTTCATCCATCCTGTTTTCTCGTGGCTCTCCAAAGCTTTTCTCCCCATGAAGCCAAATTTTTGTTTCTCATTTTTCAGCATCTGAAGCGTTTGTATTTGCCCCCATCATTTTGTGTTTTTTAATCCATATTTTAAAATATTTTTCAAGAAATTTTAAAATAAAAGAAAGTACAGAAAATGAACAAACACCACAGCGACTGAGATTGCTAGTTCACATTCTGCCAAATTTATTCAGGCCTTTTTTTTTCTTTTAAAGAAAACATTATTAAAGTAAAACTACGCTTAGATACATTTGTTCCCTCAGAGACATCCCTTTTCTAACCAATATCCTTTCAGCCCAATATCTTTACTTTCTGTACATACCTACACATACTATGGATATTCTATATCTGTCAGTGTTACTTAACTTTGTGCTATCTACTTGACATTGTTATAGTTCACTTCTTTTTTTGTTTTTTGAGACAGGGTTTCGCTATGTAGCCCAGGCTGCTCTTGAAATCAAGATCTTCCTGCCTCAGCCTCCCAAGTGCTAGGATTACAGGCATGTACCATCATGTTTGGCCTAATATAATTCATTTCTTTTAACCACCCCGGGATCAAACTTGGGACCTTGTGCTTTCAGGGCAGGTGGTGAAACCACTGAGCTAAATCCCCGGACCATTAACAGGATTTTCTATGGAGCACATACTGAAAATTTGTCTGACGAGAGGCTCTTTTTTTTGTACCGGGGATCGAACTCGGATCCTTGTGCTTTCCAGGCAGGCAGTGGAACCACTGAGCTAAATCCCCGGCTGAGGTTTGCATGGTTTTAGCTCTACCATGTAGCGTAAGACAGATTTCCAGAACTCTTATCAGTTTATACTGCTCATTTCCACAGTATTTGCTATTATGAAACATTTTCTCAACCTTGGGGAAAGAAGTCTTGTTTTACTTTGTTTCTGTAATTCTTCTCTATGCCTTTTCCTTAAACTTAAAAAAATATATTCTGTGTATTTATCTTCTGTTACATATGCTTGCAAATGTCTTTTCACTTTGCAGCTTGTCCTTTAATTTTTTTTGACCCCAAGGAGGAAAGATCTATTTCAGCTCATGTTTTCTGAGGTTTCAGTCCCTGGTGAGGCGGAACAACAGGGCAGGGAGTGCATGATGGAGCAAGGTTGCTCACCTCATGGCAGCCAGGATGCAGAGAGAACTTGTCTTTTAATTTCATGGTGTTTTGTTTGGATGGAGCCATGTAACACAGTCTTTTCCTGTGTAGACTTTAAAAAACATTTAAGTACCATAGAAGGCAGAGATCTAATTTTATTTTTCTATGGAAAAAGAGTTGTGTGTGGTGGCACATGCCTATAATCCCAGCACACAGGAAGCCGAGGCAGGAGGATTGAGAGGAATTTGAGGCCAGCCTGAGCTACATAGTGAGACCCGCTCTTAAAAATAAATTAAAAGAGAGCCGGGGATTTAGCTCAGTGGTTCCGGTGCCTGCCTCGAAAGCACAAGGTCCCAAGTTCAATTCCTGGTACCAAAAAAATAATAATAATAATTAATTAATTAAAAGAAACAGCAGGGCTGGGGATTTAGCTCAGTGGTTCC